CCAACAACAAACACAGTAGCTTAAAAGTCAGGAAATGCCAACAAACAAATAAATAGATCTGCGCAGAGTGTTACCTACATGTATGCGGTAGGGTTTCTACACCATCTGACAACATAATATCATGAAAAACAGAGATGTAGAGGATAAACTGGGGTAAAGCCATAAGGAATCCAGATGAATAAATGAAAAGCAAAACCAGCAACGACGGAGCCCAGTGAAGTTAGGTGAAGGCTGCAAGGAGGTAAACGGTGCTCTCTTTAGCTGTTGAAGACACTGGAAGTCTAGAACTAGATCAGTCATTAACTCAGCTGAGGTTAAACCTAATATAAAATTGGAACAAACTGCATTATTCCTTAAACAGCATTGTATTATATCCTCTCAACCTCTAGTTTAAATAGCAACTGCATATTAAACAAAATCCAACTGAAGAGCAAATTTCCAAAACGCACTCAGTCCATTTCTTTGGTTTCAGATGAGCTAATGCCAGGCTCCCCTCTCATATCTTTCCAAAACTCAGTCAGTATCATAATCGACTTTTAGAAATATGTTCAATTGCTGTGTCCCTTTAAAAATCACAGAAGCACCACTAGAGGTCACATTTTCTGTGCTTTACCTTAAACCTACTCTTCACATGATTTAGCCGTAGTTAAGGAGAGATGCTTGTATTTTGAACACGTCCCCACATAAGATATTAATAACCTGTTTAATACTTTGAAATCTTTCAACATGTAGGCTGTTGCATAATATAGCCAACTCTGATGAAACTTTGACACAAAAGCATGTGTAATTACAAAGGATAGGCTTGCATGGGATATATTTAAAATGTTAAAGCACCTAATTTTTCAATTTCAAAGGCAAAACAGATTATATTCATATACATTTTATAAATCTCTAGAGAGAAAAGGGTTCTGATAAACTGACCTTTATTACTATCTTGCATTAGTGCAGAAATTTACATAAGATTTCCCTCAAATGGGTCTCTTGGGAAAAAGCAACAGACACATCGTCTTAAACTAAACAAAAAAAAATTGTTATCCACATAATTTCCATTGACCCCCCCCCCCCCCCCATGTGTAATTATGACTATTATGCTTGATATGTGATATTATGACTTATACATATGTGCTGTTGAATGAGGTGTGTGTTACATAATAGCTTGTTTTGGTGTGTCTGAGTGGGCCACGTCGATAGGCATGTTGTTCAGTTGAGAAAATCTTAGATTGGTGAGACAGATGTTGTTGCCACAATACTCTGTGACATTTATAAAAGACTGGGTGTTGTTGTTATTGCTCTGCGCCACTTGAACAGATGATGGTGCCTTCTAGCTTAGTCTTTCCAATATATACCCCTTCAGTACAATATACACTCAAAAGTCTTAACTAATTGGCAAGAGCCAGTGAAATTGTAAAAGTCACTTATGGATTATCAACCAAAAGCATGCGTTACAGGCTTTTGTTAAAGTCAGGACAAACTAAGGATGAGTATCTCTCACGTCACTCTTAAACTCGAAGTAGAAAATAGCAGTCATGTCATTAGTGATAGTGTAAGATAAAATTAAATCAATATTTATACATATGTGTGTGTATGTATGTATATATAGTCAACTTCAGAATAATTGGCCCCCTTCATGAAAATGAGCTAAAATTGATACATAATATGAAATACACATGCAATAGGTGATTTGTTTGGATTAAATGAATGGCTTTTAATTTCAAACAGATTTTTGGAACAAAAAAGTTTTCCTTTAATGACACAATTTTTTTTATAAAAATGCAGACAGAATAATTTATTGGTTTTGTAACAAAAATAATTACTCTATCCATTTGTTTACAAAAACTATGCTTCATATTAGAAACAATCAGTAGTTTTAAGTAAAAAATGCATTTAATGTAGCAACAAATTGAAGCCAAAATTATAGTTCTAAAAGAACTGTTCTGAGTTAAAAAGTTGATTGACAAGCTGTGTCATTGGGTGCTTTTTATTTAGTAACACCTTTGCAATACCATAAAACACCAAACATTTGAATTTAATATCCCATTGGGGGCAATGACTACAAATGCAATTAATACCAAAATGGCAAGAAAAGAACTGAATGAGTCAGTCAAAAAAAATTACACTTAAGAAAAAGAACATTTCTGTGCAAAAATATGTGCAGATGTTAAGCATTGCTTGTCATTGGACTTTTGTTATGAAACCAATACATTTGCAACATTTTTACAAAATTATGCAAGCATCCCAAGACTTTCTGTGAGCACTGTACACACACACACGCACATGCATGCTTGCTCCTCCTACAAATACATATAAACACACACATACACACATACGTCTGCTCCTCACACACATACAAGCATACATGCAGACTGCTTCTCTCACACATATGCATACCTGCTCTTACAGTACCATACATACATATTTACACACACACATGCACACACTCAAGCCTGCTCCTCCCACACATATGTATTTACATATACACGCACACGTATGCCTGCTGCTCTCACACGCATGCATGCCTGCCCCTTTCACACATACGTATTTACAGAAAGGCGCACACATGCCTGCCCCTCCCCGTATAAGTACACCTACTTCTCCCACAAATACGTATTTATACACACACACATACACGCTTGCTCCTCCATACATATGTATCTACATACACATGAACACATACACTTGCTCTTCCCACACACACACACACACACACACTCACTGTCCACTTTATTAGGTAGACCCATAGAACTGCTCATTGAAGCTAATATGTCAGCAGTACAATGCATAAAATCATGCAGGTACAGGTCAGAAGCTTCAGTTAATGTTCACATCAAACATCAGAATGGAGAGGAAAGGCGATGTAAGCGACTTTGAATGTGACATGTTTGTTGGTCCCAGAAGGGCTGGTACAATTATTTCAGAAACTGCTGATCTACTTGGATTTTCACACACAACCGTATCTAGGGTTTACAAAGAATGGGCCAAAAAAGAAAAAAAAACATCCAGTGAGATCCAGTTTTCTGGGCGAAAATGCCTTGTTGATGGCAGAGTTCAAAGAATAATGGCCAGGCTGGTTAAAGCTGGTTGAAAGCAACAGTAACTCAAATAACCACTTGTTACAAGCAAGATATGCAGAAAAGCATCTCTGCACATACTACACATGGAACCTTGATGGAGATGGGCTCCAGCAGCAGAAGACCCCACAGGGTACCAGACCTGTCAGCTAAGAACAGGAAACTGAGGCTACAGTGGGCATGAGATCACTGAAAAAGGACAAATGAAAATTGGAAAAACATTACCTGGTCAAATAAAGTCTTGACAATTTCTGTTGCGACATTCTGATGGTACGGTCAGAGTTTTGCGCAAACAACATGAAAGCATGGATCCATCCTACCTTTCACCAACAATTCAGGCTGGCGGTGGTGTTGTAATAGTGTGGGGGATATTTTCTTGGCATACTTTGGGCTCCTGAGTATCAATTGAGCATCATTTCAATGCCACAGTCAACCTGAGTATTGTTGCTTATACATCATATACATCTTGTAATGACCACAGTGTAACCAGCTTTAAATGGCTACTTCCAGTAGGATAACGTGCAATGTCACAAAACTCATATCATCTCAGACTGGTTTCTTGAACATGATAATGTGTTCACTGTACTCAAATGGCCTCCACAGTCACCAGATCTCAATCCAATAGAGCGGCTATGGCAGGGGTGTCGAACTCCAGTCCTGGAGGGCCGGAGCTGTCACACCCACAGGGGCGGGTCCACACAGCGATGGGCAATCATCGCAATATAACCAAGCTACTTAACCCCAAAGCAAGCTCCAAAGGTTGCGAAGTATTGTTGCCATTGTCCCTTCGGTTTTTGATGCACCCGGCTAACAATAAATCATTCTCCTGCATTACGGGGTCTGCTTTGTCTCTGATCACTCAACACCACAGGAGCCCTGTGTAGCTTAGTTCTTTCCCTGTTCCACAACAAATGATTCAGCTCAAGAGTTGTGTGGTAATTAGCACAAGGAGTTGAATCAGCTGTGTCAAATGAGGGGAAACCCAAAAATGTGTAGGGCTCCGGCCCTCCAGGACTGGAGTTTGACACCCGTGGGTTATGGGATGCAGTGGAATGGGAGATTCACATCATGAAGGTGCAGCCGCCTAATCTGCAGACACTGCATGATGCTGTCATGTCAGCATGACCCAAAGTCTCTGAGGAATGTTTCAAGCATCTTGTTGAATCTATGCCACGAAGAATTAAGGCAGTTCTGAAAGGGTTCTACCCAGGACTAGCAAGGTGTACTAATAAAGTGGCTAGGAAGTGTGTGTGTGTGAATGTTTGTATTACATTATGGGGACCAAATGTTCCCCACAATGTAATAAAAAACCTGTTATTTTGATGTTGCAGGGACCATTTTTCAGATCTCCACAAGGATCTGTGAACACTATTAAAAAGCTAAAAATTCCAAAAGTCTCATATCTTGTTTGGTTACTTATGGGTAAGGTGGGTAGGGGTTAATGTCGTAATGTTGCGATTAGAGTTTTCCCCATAGAAATCAAAGTCCCCACAAAGATATAATTACAATTACCTGTGGGGTGTGTGTATGTGTGTATACTTATCATTCAGATAACAGGCATGGCTTCGGCCGTGCGCCGTGTAATTTAATGTGTCTAGCCGCGTATGTAAATGGAAAGTGTTGTGCCCGTGTAATGTCTCCCGTGGAGTGCGTATATTTTCGATACCGCAAGTGTGACTAGTGTAAATTGTGAACTTCCCTTATCTGTACCGCTGCTGTTTGTCCATTGCTGTAGAACTTTCCTTCTGTTTTATAAAGAGCTGTCTCCTTATTATTAAAAACACGACCCACCACACAAATCCAGTTACAATATGTCACAGTGTCACAGTTACTGTGGATTATATATTAATAGAACGTTATGTCATTCTAAAATGAATGGGCTACAATCCGGGAGTAGGGGGCGTGGCGATGGGAACGTCCTCGTCTGTAACCCGGATGTGAACCGAGCACCGTGCAAAAAGCCGATCCGGGAGAAGCGCTTAAACACAAACGGTGAGTTTAAATAAATCAAAACGAAAAAGCAAGAGGATACGCACTGTTGCGCATTGAGTGGCTGTTTTAAGAGATAGAGACCGAATTTGCAGAGAATCCTCTAAGTTTACACGGAACGTGTAAGATACTTTTTTCGGTTTTGCGTGAGCTGAAATCCTGTTGTGGTACAGTTTAGCATAGCTTGCTAGGTAACAGCAGACGGGCTCACAAACATCTCTGGGCTTGGACACTGTCTTGCACCTTCTCCTTCTTTCGGGGGTTATTTCAGTATATGTATTTCTGGGGGTAGCCGGTTAGGTACGCTTCGCAGAAAGGCCCTAACCACTTGACGGAGTTGTTCTTGTTGAGGTGCTGACTGACTAACGCCACCTTGTTCCCCTGTAAGTTGCCCAGGAGTTGCTCCAGTGATGAAACCGATACTGAGACCGCAGGCTTGGGCATGTCTATGACCGCCTGCGTCCAGCATTCCACTTTATTTAGTAGTTCCCATATAGCGGAAAAGTTGGGGGAATAACGCCGTTTTTTTGTGGTAGGTGATGAAGTTGAATGACATTGATATGCTTTTGCTTGGTTCAGGGTGTGTGTGAAAGTCATGCAGATGCTGCCTCTGAGTTCAAAAGTTCAGCTTCCATAGAGTCTACACTGATCATCACTCGGGGATTCTTTGTGAAGGAATAAGCTGGATTTGCAGAAAGCAGTTTAAGATGCAGTGCATTTTCAGTGTAGGGTGATCAGTCCTGTCCTGGAGAAAATATTAATTCTATATTTCTAGGAAATTTCTAGAATATTATTATTATAATTGTAAGGGAATTGACATCTATCCCTGTATTGTATCCTTGAGGAAAATATTTCAACTGAAGTACTGAAGCAAATGCACAGATAAGTCAGTCAGTGTGTATGATATGTGAGATTTATGAGAGGTTTGTCCTCTGAGCTGTTGTCTTCAGTGTTGGCTTATCTCTGTACTTAAACAGGAGTAGTTATTATGAGTGGGTAGAATACTGATGTATGCTATAGTCTTGTTTCCAGGTAATTTGTAAGTGCAGAAATATCACATTATAAAATAGTTGTACTGGAAAGAACTCCCCTTCCTCCCAAGGAAATCTGTAAAAAATGTGACCTTGGGTTTTATGGCAGTGTGAAGCATCAGGAAAGATACTCGCACAAAGAGCTGCTGTTTCGCGGGCCTCCACCCAGTGTGTCAGTGTGTCTTGAAGGCCGTATCTCCATGCCGGGTGCCGCACAGCCGGCTTGCTTACCTAATCATTACACCTCCTGTTTGACTTGGCTTGTGCTCATGTCATCGTACAGAGAGAAAATCCCTTCCGCTGTAGCAGCCAGATGTTATGCAGCTCTAGTTTAGCTCCTCTTCAAAGCACAGTGAGCTTTGCTGTATTTTGGATGTTGTGAAAAGCTTCATTTTGTATTCTGTTAAGTGTTAACCAAGTGAATGTATTCTAGGTCATAAATGGGGACATTTTAGGTTAATGAATAATCAGTCGTATTCATCGCAGGACTTATTTTAGAATGATTTTCGAGCAAAATATATCTTTTTCTGAAATATTCAGTCTTTATAGTAATTGGATTCTTCTCTATCTGGATGCCTATCAGTATGAGTAAGCTAGCTACACAAATACTAATTGTTTCACTTTTGTTTCAGCTAGCATGGAGGATTTCTCAGAAGGTGTGTTACGAGAATAATAGCAACCTGGTTTTCTTCAGATCAATTGTTGTTGAATGTGTAGCTCAACAAACCCATAGTGTTTTTTCAGCCCACTATTTAAGAATTAAGGGAGGATTTCTGTAGGGCTGGTTATTCAGAAGTACCTCACTATGCAGCACAGATAATGGTTTGAAATGTAGCAGTAGTAGAATTGTATCACCATGGTTAACACTTAAATCAATTCAGAAATAATGGTACTATTAAACTTAAAAAAATGAGACATTACATGCTCACTGACATCACTTAATAAAAAAGCATACAGAACTTTTCTGTCAAAACATTTAATTCTGTTTTTTCCAACAGAGCACTGCCACATGAACTTGGCATTTGTTTCAACAAATGATGGAAGAAAACATTAACTAACGTCCATTTCACCTAAAGAAGTGGGTCAGTAGTTGGACTCTTCACTGTAAGCATCACACTACAGTGCCAGTGTGTGTTGCAATGTCTGCATTGGGCATTTTCTTTGTATGTTCAGACTCAGGGTTTAATCCACAAACTTTTTGCAGGTTAGTAGTCCTGGCAGAGATGGGTCAGTGTGTGTCACGGGCTGTTTAAATTTCTCAGGATAATATCCAGATAGGCATTTGGGGAAGGTGATGTGGCCAAAATGTCATATCACAATATTTTTCGTTAGAATCACATTCTTTTGCTTACAAACCAACAAAATTAGAATTTATGTAGCAGGGCTAGATGATATTGAAAAATTTTCAGGCATTGCAACGTGATTTCTTTTTTGCAATAAATATTGCAATATTTATAAAGCAAAAAAGGAGTTGTACGTATACTCAAACTATAGCGAAACTTATCTAGCGAGCGATTCCGTCAAATTAGCTGGTGGCATTGCTACAAATGTGTCCTGACAAGTCACTTGCTTTTGCTTGATATAGTCTCTATGGAATTCAGAATATTTCCATACAGCGAAAGGATAATGTCTTTTAGTGCCATTTCTTGCTCACTTTTCTTCACACATTTTTGTTACATTTCACACTGTCTATCAGTGAGTCCAACAGCAGGGATGAAAATGATTATGAATGGCTCAGTGTGTGTATGTGGGGCTCATGTATAAGCAGTGGTGGCACATTTAACACTGATTTTAATTTTTTAAACGTATACTAGATAATACTGAAAAGGAATCATTTAAATTGCAAACCTTGTAAAGGTATTTTTTTTTTTTTTTTTTTCCTTCCTTCTTATGACAGAGTAAAAATGTTTTAGCGAATCTTATTGTGAGGACCTCAGCCCCCCATGCTATGAATTATGTCCCCAAGATTTCAAACCACTGGAATTCTATTGCAAAATAATGTTGCTTTTTGGACAGTTTTAAAAGTTAGATACTTCTCAAGCGTAATTTCAACACAGCTGACCATCACCATGCCCATACTAATATTGCACTTTGCTTAGCCCGAGTATGTAATAATGTTAACTGACCATTTAACCACTTAAGCAGCAGTTCTATCCATTCACAAAACACTGCTTGTAGCTTTACAATAAACTTGAGTAAGGTATGTAAAATATTGTACACATAATTGAAACGGACTCATGGCTAAAGTGCTTTTAATTTTTTTATTTTGTACTGGAGTTTTGAGTACAAATGAACATTTATCACTTTGGTCTGAACTCACTTTACTGCAAATGCAAACAATAATTTTTTTATGCAAGATATTACCAAGTAAAAGTAAATGTAGTGCTGTATTGTGATCCTGTATATTGATATCAGTCAAAATTTCTGTGATTTATCCACTGCTTTCTCTCCTGCACTTCTGCATAACATTCCAGCTGGAATGTTGAAGTTGGTGCTTGGGGTCAACCAGTCAGCAAAGTTTATCGCTAAGCCCCACCCAGTGGTTCCTGGTTGAATAAAAAGAACCTGACCCAGAACAGGGACTAAAAATATGTTCAGGATCTACAATCAGGCCTAGTTCTTGCAGTGTGAATGTGAAAGAAGTTTGTGGTTCCTGAAAAATGTTTCTGTAGTTGGAGAGGGCCTATTCACCTATAATTGTTGCCAAAACCCTTCATATAGCTTTTCTCCAGAAATTTATATTGGAGAACCTTCCAGGCTATATGTCCATACATGTTTATTTCATTGCTGCTCTGATACAATATTCAGATTGGTATTGTCACCGATCCAAACCTATTAGACGGATATGATATCGGGCATATGTGACCGATCCACATCCGATACCTACTTATTTAGTTTTTGGCAGTCTGTAAAAAGATAGCTCCTGTATCTTAAAATGATTTTTACAATTAATCGCATGACAGCGCTTTCCCATTTTTGACGTGTTTTTGTGACATTCATGCTGAACGCTAATGCTGCCACTCCATTTTTTGCCACTCAGTGGGTGTGAGCACAGTGACTTTTACCTGCTGTGATGTCATGTGCATTCCCCTTGCAGTATGAGGAGCGTAAGAACATCAGATAAGAGGGTGACGATTTGGAACAACTAATAGCAGAGCGATTTGCAATCTCTGTAAAAACGTTTTGAGAGGTGGAAGTAGCATTTAGTGGAAAATCACACTAAACAAACTGCATGCAATTGTGCAAAACAATGCGAGTAATATGAGAAAAGCGATGGATGATTTGGGAGTGGCTAGCTTGGGCTGCTTTGCGCACTGGCTACAGCTTACGATGCATGATGGGCTGCTATTCCAATGAAGTGTAAGTGACGCTGCTGCTAAGGATCCACCACTTGCGTAGACTTTCTTGGAAGACATTCAAATTGAACTTCAAATGCCTCAAAAATGCTTAAAAATGATGTACAAATGAGGTGGAAGAGTACATTATGCATGATTCTAGTAGCCCAATTAAATATTTTTTTGCATACTTTTCTTATTTGTATTTACAAGTTTTAAAAATATTAATGATATATAAATATTTGTACAGTCATGACCAAAAATATTGGCATCCCTGCATTTGTCAGAAAGCACACCATTTTTCTCAGAAAATTGTTTTTACAATTGCAATTACAAATGCTTTGGTATTCATATGTTTATTTCATTTGTTGGCACTGGAAGAACACAAAAAAGCAGAGGGGGGGAAAAAAAAATCTAATCTGAGACATTCACACAAAATGTCAAGAATGGCTTGGACAAAATTATTGGTACCCTCAACTTAATACTTGGTAGCACACCCTTTGAAAGAAATAACTGATTTTAATCCCTTTCTGTAATGATCAGTGAGTCTTTTACATCTTTCTACTGGAATTTTGGGCCACTATTCCTTTGCCTGCTGCTCCAGGTCCTTCTCCCAACTGCTGTTTTTAGATTTCTCCACAGGTGGTCTATGGGATTTAGATCTGAACTCATTGCTGGCCACTTCAGAACTCCCCAGTGCTTGGACTTAAACCATTTCTAGGTGCTTTTTGAAGTATGCTTTGGGTCACTGTCCTGTTATAAGCCCCTTAACCTCTGGCTGAGAGCGAGCTTTTTGACACTGGGCCTTACATTGCACCACAGAATTCTTTGGTAGTCTTCAGATTTCATAATACTATGCAAAAAGTCAAGACTACCAGTGCCTGAAGCAGCAAAGCAACCCCAAAACATCAGTGAACCTCCTCCATGTGTGACTGTAGGGACCGTGTTCTTTTTCTTTGAAAGCTTCTTTGTTTTCGGTAAACAGTAGAATGATGTGCTTCACCGAAAAGCTCTATTTTTGTCTCATCTGTCCAGAGGACGTTCTCCCAGAAGGATTGTGGCATCCACAGGGAAGTTTTAGCAAACTCCAGTTTGGCTTTCTTATGTTTCTGTATCTGGAGTGAGGTCCTCCTGGGTCTCCTGCCATAGCATTGAATTTGTTTGGAAGGTGATTGAGGTGCTTTATGCACCATTCTAACAATTATTCGTTGTAATATTTCATCAATCTTTCTCTTTCGTCCATGTCCAGAGAGATTAGATACAGTGGCATGGGCTGTAAACTTCTTTATAATGTTGCGCACATTGGACACAGGAACATTAAGATCTCTAGAGATGGACTTGTAGCCTTGGGATTGTCCGTGCTTTTCTATAATTTTGGTTCTGAAATCCTCAGACAATTCTTTGCTGCTCTTTCTTTTCTCCATGCACAGTAGGGAACACACAGACACTCAAAAACAAGATTGAGTCAACATTTCTCCATTTTAACTGGTTGCATGTGGGAATGTCCATATTGCCAGCAGTTGCTAACCTGTAGCAGTTGCTACAGGTTAGTTGAATTGCAAATTAATGGAGCATCACATGCTTGAAATACAATTATTTCTTACAATTCTGATAACGTGCCAGTAATTTTGTCCAGGCCATTTTTGACGTTTTGTGTGGAATGTCTCATTTGATTTTTTTTCCTCTACGTTTTTGTGTTCTTCCAGTGCTAACAAAAGAAATAAACACATTTGTAATTGCAACAATTTTTCTTGGAGAAATGGTGCTTTTTCTGACATGCAGGGGTGTCAATATTTTTGGCCATGACTGTTTATACATTCATTATATTAAAATAAAAAGACCTCTTGTATTGGAATCGGTATTGGCCCTTGTGTAACGGAATCGGTTTGTAACTGAAAAAATGTAGATCAGCCCATCCCTAGCTGTTAACAGCAGTAGTTGGTACTTCCAGATTTTGTTTTTCTGCATCAGCCCTGCTTTTTGGTTAGGGACTCTGACAGTGGGGGAAGCATACTAATGAAAGAGTAATTTGATTGTTTTGGCAGTAATCAAGTACCGCATGATGTGACCCACTTAAACAGCCACTCCAAAGGCTCTGAATTCCATAGCCTACCTTTCTGCACGTGTTATTGGGTGGTGAGGAGTTGTACTAATGGTGGTGTACCCTTGATGAGTGAGCTTGCTTCTTTATATCATATGGTATTGGGTTGTGAGGTTTTACTTTACCTCTTTTTGGTTCATAAAATGTAAAATATAAACAGTTTTGCATGGTGTATGCATTTGGGGGGTGCTGTTTTTAGTGGTGCTGAACTTGGCTTATATTGAGTTATTTTGCTGTTTTTAACCCTTGATATCTTCTGCTGTTTGAAGGTATCTCCTTAACCTTGGTTGCTACTGCTAATTGTTGGCCTGTGAACTTAGTGATATATTCCCAGCCCAGCAATACTTTTTTTTTTTTTTTTTTAAAGACCCTTTTTTGTTTTTAAATGGTTTTACGTAGTAATGGGCCATTGTGGAAAATAACAAAGTTATTTGTGGGATGTGTCTGTGCAGATGAACTGAACTGATGTGTCTGTGCAGATGAATGGTAGAAAAGACTGAGTTTGACTGAGGAGCACGTGGGGTCTTTCTGCTGTGTGTGCATATCTTGGCTTTCGCAGAGCCTGGTGCATCATTAGCTTCGTTGGGATGCAGAAATGAAGAACCCATCCACAACTGCTGACTACCAGCTGTGGACATGCTGCAGGAGGGGGTTAAATCATTCCAGAG